TTACTTGAAGGGTTGGTCCAAAGGCTACAACATGAAAGAGAAGTTATGTATAAAATGCTGCACTTCTAGAGGAAGAATCCAATACAGAATAATGGGAACAACTACACCTGGAAAACATCACCCAATGAACCCTGAAATCCTCATTTCAGTGTTAGGCTCCATGGATATAAATTGCTAAATCATGCAGCTGATTTTCCTGCCTTTGAGCTACAATTTCACCTTGTCTTTGCAAATCCCTGGTCAAGAAGACCCCAGAGCACAGAGGAGAGAAGCAGAACAATTTTTAATCATAATATATTGCTCTTCTTAATGATTTCCTCTCTTCTTTGCAAAAAAAGGCCAATAACCCACCCAAGTAATGCTCAGCACTTCTCACCTTCACATCCTCTGCTCTTAACCTTGCTGCTTCCAAAAATTCCCATCTCCCAAAACAAACCAGAGGTGCAGCACTGAGCCCCAGGGGGATGGGAAATTCTTGCTCTGAGGGTAGAAAACCTGCTCAGTTCAGCAAGGCAGAGATGCTCCTCTGGATCTCTCAACAAATGGAAAACACTTGAGGGCTGGAAGCTTCCCTTGGTGAGGATGTGCTGAGCATCTGGAAGGGGATGACTCACGGGGTCATTGCAGTCTCCAGCCTCCTCCACTCCCCCGTGTTTGATCACACATGGCCTGTTCTCAGTGCCATTGTGCACAAAGAATTGGCACTGGGGAGCAGGACCTGCTCCTGCAACTCACCAAGTGCCTCCAGCACGGGTGATTCACCCCTCAGACAGCTGCCTGTGGATTCCCAGCCCTTGGGAAGGAAGCTCCACCCCGGAGCAGGCAGGAATACCAGAGCTTCTGAGGAACTCAGAGTGCCCCAAGCCATTCCCTGTGTCCTGTCCTCAGTCCTGCACAGCTTGAGGTCTTCCTGCTCCAGCCATCACTGAGAGCCCAGGGAACAGCATCTTCTGATGCTTTCCAGTTCCTCTGGTAGCTGGTTCTCCCAGTTCCCTGAGGCTCCTTCAGCAGCAGGAAAAAAGGATCTCCAGATCCACCAATGCAGCTGTTCTGTGTCTGCTCCCAGGTCATGGCAGGGAAAGCAGACTGGAGTCACTCCACAGGGTCACATCTGGCCTGGGAGTCTTTGCAGAGACCTCAGTGATCACAGAGGAAAGGCCCTGACCCCAGGCAGTTCATGATCTCTGCTGAGAATCTGTCTGGGGCTGCTTCCCTGCCCTGAGATTGTTATCAAGTGATTCAGAACACACAGGCTGAAATCCTGGCTGGGCAGAACCCACCAAGGGTTGGCCATTGGCTTGGGAANCCTAGAGGGGCAGAAAGCAATTTGAAGGGCAAAGTGTGAGGACAGCAGCAATCCATGAGGAGAAGCAGGATGCAGGAAAGGGATGGACACTCAACCCAACAAGGCCCCATCACAATGGGACAAGCGTGACCCCTCATTAGAGACAAAAATGCTCATTTGGCATGGTGATAATTATCACCAGAGAGGTGCTGGAGATGGTGACAGCAAAGAGAGAACAGCCTGAGCCAAACTGAGAGCCTTGGGATCCCCACTGAAAATAACAGAGAAGGAATCCCAGCAAAAAGACAGGGATGGTGACAGAGGATGTGGCAGATGTCCCACTGGGGATTTGTCACTCACAGCAGGATGAAGCTGCTCAGCTCTTCAGCTCCCCACATGCCACCATATGTCACTGGCTGCTGTCCCTGCTGGTAAATCCTCAGGGTGGGGAACTGGGTGACATTCTCCTGGGAGCAAAGGCCAGGCCAGTCCCAGCAGTTCACCCGGGACAGCAAAACCCCCGGGGTTCCTAGAGTGGAAAAAAACACTCATAAATTATAAAAAACTAAAAACAACAATCAATTGGTTGGAAAATAGAGCTTTTTATTAGCTCAGTGGATATTATTGTCTATATTTGTATTAATTCTGGCAGAAATCTACCAAAATCCAGCCCCAAATACAGAATCCCTTTGAGTACAGCCCATTTCCTTCTTGAAATCACTCATTCCCAGAAATATTCACAACTGACTGGTAACTCCAAGCAACACCACAAAATCCTGAGACATCTGTCCAGGAGCTTCAAAGGCAGTAGGGAAAGGTATTGGAAATACCTTAGGAATAAGGCCAAGAGAAGGAAATCATGCAGGCACTCACTAACAGGAGAGAGGGAAGATAAAGCTTGCCATGATGGAGGAGGAGGAGGATGCAACCAAGGTTTTTGCATTTATTAAGTTGTTCAATACTGAAAAATCTCTGTTCTACCTCAAGCATGAAGCCAAATGCACATGAATTTAAAAGGGATGGAAGAGAGATGTCCCATCCACTGTCCTCAGGCACAGGGTGGGATTCTTGGGGCTGTCCTGAGAGCTGGGCTTGATGATCCCTGTGGAAGTCAGGATTTTCTGTGATCCCACCCAAGCCATGAGCAGACACCTGCAGGACCTTAAGAAAGGGGTCTCACAAGTAAAGGAAGCACTTGGGAATTACAGAGCAGTCAGTCCAACTGTGGGTCCTGGCAAATGTCCCAAAAAGGCTTTTTAAGGGTCTCACCAACACAAGAAACTCAAGAGGTTGGTAAGAAGTGAAACAAATGAAAAGTTGGTTCCTTGAGTGCTCTCTATGAGCCCAGAGTTTCCAAAACTCCAGCATTTAGTTCAGCAAAGAATCATGGAGTCACAGAATGTTAGGGTGGGAAGGGACCTTAAAACTCATTTAATTTCACCCCCTGCCATGGGCAGGGACACCTCCCACCATCCCAGGTTGTTCCAAGGCCTGTCCAGCCTGGCCTGGAGCACTTCCAGGGACCTTTTCAGCTTTTCTTTCATCTTTGGGCTGGGTGAAGCCAGCACAGGCTGCTGTTGTTCCATGGCTAAGCCTGACCTGAATCCTGACCAGCTTCACTCCCTCCCTTGGCTTCCAGCCTCACCTGAGCTGCCCCAGGGCCCTGACCAAGGACAGGGTGCAGTTGTCCATGCCCAATCTCAGAAATCTTCATTCCTTCCCCAAATCCTTCTTTGAACAAGACTCGAAACTGCATGGGAAAGATGGGATAAAACCTAGAGACAAGTACACACATGGAGGCAGAGCATGGCAAAGAATCNTCTCACACCCAGTCCCTCTCCCATCTTTTGACACCTTTCAGAAATCCAAATCTTTTGGGGAATTTGCACTTGGATGGAGTTCACAACCTTGTGTTTCCTCAAGGTGTACTGGAGATGTCACTCAATGTCTTTAACCCGAAATAAACTCAGTTTTCTCTTTCCCAGCAGGCACAGTGGCTCTGCAGCACCCAAATCATGGAATCATGAATGGGACATTAAAATTCCACCCCTGCCATGAGCAGGGACACTTCCACTGTCCCAGGTTGCTCCAAGCCCACTCCAACCTGGCCTGGAACACTTCCAGGGATGGGAAATCCACAGATTCTCTGGATAATCTGGGAAAGAAACTTTTCTTTGTTAAATCTCCCAGCTCCCTGCCAGAGGCACTGCCTTGCCTCAGCCCAGCACTGAGCTTTGCTTCTTTGCTCTTTGTCTCACACTCAGTCCCTCTCCCATCTTTTGACACCTTTCCTAAGGCCTTCAGAAGTCCAAAAAGTCCAAATCTTTTGGGGAATTTGCACTTGGATGGAGTTCACAACCTTGTGTTGCCTCAAGGTGTACTGGAGATGTCACTCAATGTTTTGAACCCAAAATAAACTCAGTTTTCTCTTTCCCAGCAGGCACAGTGGCTCTGCAGCACCCAAATCATGGAATCGTGGAAGGGACATTAAAATTCCACCCCTGCCATGAGCAGGGACATTTCCACTGTCCCAGGTTGCTCCAAGCCCTGTCCAACCTGGCCTGGAACACTTCCAGGGATGGGAAATCCACATATTCTCTGGATAATCAGGAAAGACACTTCCCCTTGAGCTTCAGGGAATGCTGGCAAATCAATCGCAGAGATGAGCAAACATCCCACCACCCTCTCCAGAGCTGAGCTGTCCAATGAAGAAATCCAGCCTCCAACCTCATCTGGTGTCTTGAGGGCCACGTTTGAGCGCTGCAGAACGTTCAGCTCCACGAGGTCCCTTCCAAAACACAAAGTGAACATCAGATGGTGTGACATGGAAGGTCACCCTCTTCTTTCTGCCCCAATTCCATCACTGCTAAGTTTCCTCTCCAAAATCTCTCTTAATCTGAATATTTTTCCACCCCTAAGCCAGCAAAACTTCCAAATTAATACAATTCTGGATAAATCTTTAAATATGAAACACTCTGTCCCAGGATATAGCTTGGTTTTACTGCCTCTCATCCAAGTGTGATTGAATCCACTGACTGTCATGCTGGTGTTGGGGTAACCCAGCTCAGAAACCCCACAAAAAGCAAGGAGAACCCAAAAACACCTGAGAGAAATACCTGGACAAAAGGGCAACTCCTGCTTTCCCCAGGAGCTGCCAGGCCACAAACTCTGCTGTCCTCCTGTCAGCCTCATAGGTGTCCTTCTGGCTCAGGATGAACACCAGGGGCAGCCCGAGCTGCAAGTGAACAGTGGAGATCTTCTCTGGGTCCTCAGCAACCTCTGTCTGGAGAACAGCCAGGTTAACAGCCAGGTTAACAGCCAGGTTAACAGCCAGGGTTATGCTGCAGCACAGCTCCACAAGTTGAAGCCATAGAAATCATCAGGAAAAAGTTTCCAACCCCAATTCTAAAACATCCATGGAAGCAGAACCCACACAACTCCAGTGAAGCTGTTCCAACATGTCACGACCTTCCCTGTTAAAAACCTGGGCTTTATTTTGTGGGGGATTTTTTTTTTGTGGTTTAGCAATTCCAGATGTCAAATCTCCACTCAGTTTTTATTTACCTGGCATCCACTCCCTGGAGCAGTTTGAAAATCCCAGCCACAACATGCAAAAACTGGAATCTTTCCCTTCCTGCCTTGGACATGCTGCTTCATGACAGCACATCAGAGGTGCTTGATGAAGCTCCATGGGCCTGACCCAGGAAAATGGCTGAAGGAGCATTCCCAGCTCATCCACTCATCCTTCTGGATGGCAACAGGAGGCTGCTGAAGTTCTCTGCCCCTTGGAAGGAGGAAATAGGAGGGAACCTCCTGTCCTTGTGATCACTGAGGTGGGAAGGACTGATAGCAAATTCCAGAGGGTGCTGAAACTCCTGCAGGGAGCCTCAGAGCAGCTGAGGACTTTGGGCTTGTCTAGTTTGCAGAAATGAAGCTGAGGGATGACCCCACTGCTCTCCAAGCTTCCTGAGGAGCAGCTGAGGACTTTGAGATTGTCTGGTTTGGAGAAAAGCAGTCTGAGGGATGACCCCACTGCTCTCCATAGTTCCTGAGGGGATGCTCCTGAGCCTACAGGGGCAGCTGAGGACTTTGGGGTTGTCTATTTGGAAAGAAGGAGGCTGAGGGATGATCCCATTGCTCTCCACAGTTTCCTGAGGAGCAGCTGAGGACTTTGGGCTTGTCTAGTTTGGAGAAAAGCAGGCTGAGGGATGATCCCATTGCTCTCCACAGCTTCCTGAGGGGGTGCTCCTGAGCCTGCAGGGGCAGCTGAGGACTTTGGGGTTGTCTATTTGGAAAGAAGGAGGCTGAGGGATGATCCCATTGCTCTCCAAGCTTCCTGAGGAGCAGCTGAGGACTTCTGAGATTGTCTGGTATGGAGAAAAGCAGTCTGAGGGATGACCCCACTGCTCTCCATAGTTCCTGAGGGGATACTGCTGAGCCTACAGGAACAGCTGAGGACTTTGGGGTTGTCTAGTTTGGAGAAAAGGAGGCTGAGGGATGAACCCATTGCTCTCCACAGCTTCCTGAGGGGATGTGGGGAAGGAAACACTGATGTCTCCAGAGTATCCAGGGATAGAACATGTGGAAATGGTTCAAAGCTGCATCAGGGGAGGTTTACACAGAACATCAGGAGGGTTTATTTACCAAGAGCACTGGAACCAGCTTCATATTGAGTTGGGCAGTGCTCAGGAGTCACTTGGAAAATGCCCTCAATAATTTATTGATGTTTTGGCCAGCCCTGAATTGGTGAGGCAGCTGCAGCAGCTGATTCCTGCTCCTTGCCTGGAGCCACCCTGGAAGGGGCAGATTCCCACCCTCAGCCTTTCTCTCTCCTCTCCCCTCCCTCCCTGCCCTCCCACCCAGGCAGCTCCTCCTTCCCAGTCCTACCACCAGTGGAGCCCCCATGAGCTTGAGGTGCCTGTGGATGTTGAGCAGGGTCAGGGGCTGTGCCAGGGCTGTCCTCCTGCAGGCCTGGGCTGGCTCTGGGACCTGCTGGCAGTGGCAGAACAGGAGCCAGGCAGAGGAGACATCAGGGTCATCAGGGCTGTGAGAGAGGAGACAAAACCCACCCTGAGCAGGGGTTCCAGGTGCCCTGAGAGAAGGAGCAGGGGAGCAGGTTTGCTGATGTGTTGCACAGATTATCCTCGAGCCCAGGGTTTGGCAGGGCTGTGGAACAGGCTGGGAGAGCTGGGGGTGCTCACCTGGAGAGGAGAAGGCTCCAGGGAGAGCTCAGAGCCTCTTCCAGAACCTAAAGGGGCTCCAGGAGAGCTGGAGAGGGACTGGGGACAAGGGATGGAGGGACAGGACACAGGGAATGGCTCCCACTGACAAAGAGCAGAGAGAGAGGGGACATTGGGAAGTGTGAGGGTGAGGAGTCCCTGGCACAGGGTGCCCAGAGCAGCTGTGGCTGCCCCTGCATCCCTGGCAGTGCCCAAGGCCAGGCTGGACAGAGCTTGGAGCACCCTGGGACAGTGGGAGATGCCCCTGGTTAGCTGTGGCACCCTCACTGCTGTTGGCCTGTGGGTAACTTTGGGAAGTCACTTTCCTTTTCTGATGCACCCATTGCCTACCCCTAAAACAGGGATCACCTTCTTTGGGTAAGGATTTCAGAGCTCTGTTAAGCACTATTAAGACCTCAAATCCCGCTGCCCCGGGTCGGCTGGAAGCTGTTCCTGCTGGACAAGCTCCCAGCATTTCAGCAGCTCGGGAGGGGGCGGCGCTGCTTTAAGGAGAATTCGGGCGATTCCTGTGCAATGACAACCGTGCCATCTAGCGGGAGCCACAGCACCAACCCCAAACGCTGCAAGGATGGAAGGGCACCTCGGGAAGGGCCACCCTGCTGCCTGGGACAAAATCCCAGGTCACTCATGATGGAGTTATTGATGTTGGAAAAGCCCTCCGAGATCACAGAGTCCAAAAGGTCCCCCAGCACTGCCAAGGCCATCACTGAGCCGTGTCCCCAAGTGCCACATCCACAGGGATTTTAAATCCCTCCAGGGATGGGGACTCCACCACTGCCTTGGGTATCCTGTTCTGACATGAAAACCCTTTCCAGGAAGAATTTTTCCCTCATATCCAATTTCAATTTACCTTGGTGCACCTTGTGGCTGTTTCCCCTTGTCCTGTCCCTGTTCCCTGTAGCAGAGCCTGACTTGGATGCATCCTCCTGGCAGGAGCTGTGCAGAGCCACAAGGGCCCCTGAGCCTCCTTTGCTCCAGGTGAGCCCTGCCCAGCTCCCTCAGGGATTCTGCAGCCCCTGCCCAGCTCCCTCAGGGATTCTCCATCCCCTTCCAGCTCCCTCAGGGATTCTGCAGCCCCTGCCCAGCTCCCTCAGGGATTCTGCAGCCCCTTCCAGCTCCCTCAGGGATTCTGCAGCCCCTTCCAGCTCCTCAGGGATTCTGCAGCCCCTGCACAGCTCCCTCAGGGATTCTGCAGCCCCTGCCCAGATCCTCAGGGATTCTGCAGCCCCTTCCAGCTCCCTCAGGGATTCTGCAGCCCCTTCCAGCTCCCTCAGCCTCTCCTGGGGCTCCAGACCCTTCCCAGCTCTGTTTCCTTCTCTGCACACACTCCAACTCCTCATTATTTCTTGTCATGAGGAGCCCAGAACTCATCCAGGATCTGAGGTGTGGCCTCAGCAGTGGCAGCACAGGGGACAATCTCTACCCTGTAGCCACAGGCTGGCACCAGCCAGGTGCCATTGGCCAGCTGGGCACTCTGGGGCTGAGGAAACAACAAACAACACCCCCTGTGATGTTCCCAGCTCCTCCCTCACACTGGTGACTGCAGGAGGTCACATCAGCAGTCACAAGGAGGGATCTGCCATTCTAAAGCAGCTCCTCCTGCCTGGGAAGGGGGTGGCCAGTGAGGCCATGGGATGGGAATTCCCAAATCCATGAGCAGTGCCACAGTCCTTGCTCTTGGATACCAGAGTGGTTCAGGATTTTAACATCAACTCTCCTGGAAAATTGTGGGGAAAGAGCTTTAGGATTTTAACATCAACTACCCTGGGAACCCATGGCTGAGGTTTGATCCACCAGCCACGGAAAGGAGATAGAAGGTTCTTATCCTGTGAAATCCCACCCAACACAGCCACAAACAGCAAGGCCAGGAACACAACCAGCAGCTTTTGGAAAACAGATCTGACTGTCCACCCTTGGCACAGCATCCTCCTGCCATCCCAGAGCTGCTCTGAGAATCTGAGACACCAGGAGTGAGGCAAACAGTGCATGGCAGCAGCTCTCCATGGTGGGGGTGTCTCTGGATGTACCTGGTGGCTTTCAGCAGCGCTGCCTCAGTTGTCAGGACAAACTGGTGGATGGTCCCATAGACAAAAGCTGCCTCCATCACAGCTCTGTGCTCTGGAAAGGGAAAGGCAAGGTGAGCTCAGCTCTGCTTCCTCCACACCTCCTGTTTCATCCTTGCCAGGTGTAAATACTAAATCCCAGGTGCAAATATCAAATCCCAGATGAAAATATCAATTCCCAGGTGAAAATACCAAATCCCAGTTGCAAATATCAAATCCCAGGTGTAAATATCAATTCCCAGGCTTTCAGAAACTCTTGGTACAATGTCACAGAGTCTGTCTGAAAACACACTGTGAAGGGAAGTGAGCAACTGGAGCTGGATCCCATTCCTGACCCCCAGCAAACAGGTGCTGTCCTGTTTGGTGTGAGAACCCATTCTGCAGAGCCAGGATTTATTATTTTTTTATTATTTATTATAAATAAATAAATATATTATAAATAAATACATTATTTATTATAAATAAATAAATAAATAAATTATAAATAATAATTTATTTTATTATTTTTAACCACTGGCTTGCTTTCCCTCTCCAAGCCCATCTCTCAAGGTTTATGCTCCCAGCAAAACTTTTCTGGTGCAAGTGATCCCTTTGGAACCAAAGCAAGACATATGGGAGTAGAGATCTTGTGGCTGGGAGGCCCTTTCAGGTTTTCATCTGCAGGATTTTGGGCCAGAAACTCAGCTCCTGGATATTCCAACCAAAAAAAGGCTGGGGGAAGAGAGGAAAGATGGAAATGAGCATCCATACCTGCTGTCCCAGTAGCTGGCACATAGGCAAAGACCATGTTCGACTTCCCCTTCAATACATTTTCAATGTTCTCCAGGTCTGCCAGTGTTTCAACATATTTAACTTCATTAAAGAGCAGGGCACTGAGGAAGCAGAAAAAACCTCATTAGCAACTGGCTGAAGAGTAAATTTGCAGCCAGACAAGCATGATGGGAAAAACAGGGTAAAATTCCAGTTTCTTGCTGGCAGATTAAGGATTCACAGCCAAATGGAGGTGCCCAGGTGTGTGCTGGGGAGCTGTGTCAAGGGAAAAAGTTTAACAGGGTCAAACCATTATGAAGAGAGAAGCTTGACTGAGAGCAGCCTCTGGAATACCTTGATGTCTCAGGTTTAGCTTTTATATTTTTCACCTTCTGTGCTGCTTTAGTGGGAGGGTCTGGGCTCCATATCAGGGGATGGTTCTGATGAGGGGCAGTTCTGAGCTCTGAGCACAGAGCAGGGAGACAAAACAATTCCTGCTCCAGCTGGGCACCAAGGACAAATGACCCAAATCTCAGCCCCAGAGCACAAACCCCGTGGGCTGCAGAGAGAAAAACAAGCAGGGTGGGACTGCCTGGGCTAAAGCTGGAATGGGACAATGAACTGCAAGGTGCAAATGGAGCAGAACTGATCCCAGGGACAGAGCCCGAGCCCGGCCGTGCATTTTGGGGCCATTTTGGTTGATCTTGGGTGCAGCCCTGGCTGGGCTCTGGTGCTGCCCAAGGTGGATCCATGGAGGAGATGCTTTGAATAAATCCCTGCTTTATTCTTTAGCTCCATCTACTCTCTGCTCTAGCTCAGCCTTCATAAGTTTCTGCTGACCCTTCATCAGTTTCTGGTGACCCAGATGGGACACAAGGCATCAAGCTGGGGGTGGAATTTAGTGGGAATAGAAAGGAAAAGGATTTCAGAGAGTGGGATGTGGTCTGGGGATGTGGGGATGCACTTCCAGGGATGAGGTCTGGACTCACAACAGAACGTTGGCGACGATGGAGTTGACGTCGAACAGGGCGTCGGTGGGGAACTCTCGGATCAGCCGGTTCCCTCTGCAGAGAGAACAGAGAGTCACCAAAGGAAATGAGAGAGATTCACTGCATGGATCCATGGGAAAAGGGAGCCAAGGCAGGCACAGAAGGACAGGGAGGATGATGGAGAAATGGCAGAACACATTTGAGATATCTTTGGTGTGAGCTGAGAATCGTTCAAGCCTGGTTGAGCAGGTTCCTGCTGCACTTGGGGACATGGTGGCCTTGGCAGCGCTGGGGAAAGGGTTGGACTCAATGATCTTAAAGGTCCTTGGAATGGCTGCACTTGATGATGTTAAAGGTCTTTGGAATGGCTGGACTCAACAATCTTAAAGGTCTTTGGAATGGTTGGACTGGATGACCTTAAAAGTCTTCAGAATGGCTGGACTCAATGATCTTAAAGGTCTTTGGAATGGTTGCACTTGATGACCTTAAAGGTCTTTTCCAACCTTAATTATTCCATGATTGTCAGTACAACAGTCAATGAGAACTGAGCTTATTCATGGAAAAGCTTCCATGTGACAGCCCTTGGAGAGACCAGGAGCTGAACCTTCCCACCCAGGGCAGAAGAGTTAACCCCACCAACAAGGAGAGCACCCAAAAGTGTTTCTTTCTTGGATTAGACCCAAAACCTTGAGGCCTGAGTATAGCTCTGGGGGAGGGAGGCCACAGCAGAACACTGATGGAAAGTTTCTCCTGTGGTTTCATTCCACAGCTCATCCCCCTGCTGCTCCAAGGAACTTGGGGCAGGATGGGAGAATCCACACTGAGGACAAAGCATCTCCAGTGCCTGAGCTGGAATTTTGGGGGCACCTTTGGCTGAACTGTGCAGGTCACTGCTGTCCTTGTGGCTCCTCTCATTCCTCCACTGACATCTCTGACTGCTGACAGTGTTTCCCTCAAACATTTCCTTCAAACTGGGAAGAAATCCCAGTGCAGTGCCCAGAAATGCTCCTCACCTGAACAGGAAGGCTTTCCTTAATGCATTTTCTTTTCCACAATATCTTGAGACATCTTCTTTGGGACAATTCACCTAGACAGCAAATACATGTAATTACAGATTCAGCCCCACAATGACCCCACACAGCCCCTACAGCTTTCTGTCATGCAAGAATGTAAATTCAGCCTCTCCAAACCTCCTGGGAGGGAAAATCCACCAAAATGGAGGCCACAGATGGAGAGGGGAGTTTGTACTTCAGTTTTTCAGCTCAGCCTGCTGATTTGGGTCAGATGGGATCAAAGGACCCCATGATGTGCCCAGCATATTCAAAGTGACAGATCAGTGCTTCCTTACTGACCTTGTTCAGTAAATAAATCCAAATATAAATATATAAGCACTTCTTAGAGTCTAATTACACTTGTCTGAATTTGTGAATCTGCATAAAATTTCAGCTAAAAACTCCTTTGTATGAAATATTTGTTGCATTGAGCTGAAAAGAAGTTACCCAACCTCATCCATCATGGAACATGGACACTGGAACAGGGTGCCCAGAGAAATTGGGGATTTTCCATCCCTGGAAATGTTCCAGGCTAGGCTGGACAGGGATACCCAGGATGGTGGAAGGTGTCCCTGTCCATGGAAGGTGAGGTGGAGAGAGATGAGATTTAAGGTCCCTGAAAGCCAAAGCTGTTCTGTGAGTCCATGATCCTATGAAAAATTTGTGTTCATCCTTTCCTTGCTCATCTACTCATCCATCCCACCCAGCAGCTTCCCTGAGCCCCACTTACCTTCACCACAGAGACACCATAGTCCTGGAGAGCCTCAGCTGAGCTCTCAATGTGCTCCAGGAAGGGCTGGGCACCAGGAGAAACTGAAAAACACACAACAAAAATCCTCTGCAAGTCCTCAGGGTGAAGAGCATCCTCCTGCTACACATTGAGGTGTGGGAGATGCTCCTCAGCCCATGCCAATGCCTTTGGGAAATCACACCCAAGGGATCAGGAAAAACAAAAGGAAGGTCAGGGATCTTCTCCTAATCCATGACAGCCTTAGTTCTCCCTCATGAAAGAGATTCCTGCTTTTTCTAGCAAGTGTTATGGAAGAGGGGAAATTCCTTCGGAAATCTGCTTTCTCCTCCAGAAAATAATCCAGAAAATGAATGAAGATGTTTGAGGGAGTGTTCCTGAGGACACAGCCAGGAAAGAACCCATCCCAAGGGGTCAGGAGCACTTGGAACTGTGCAAACACAGCACCTGACCAGTTCTTCAAAACCCCTTTGGGTTTAAAAACCTCAGGAACTGCCCCTTCACTGAGGGGGGCCACAATTTGATCAGAGGGATGGAGCAGTTCTGCCAGAGGAAAGGCTGAGAAAATAGAAAAGGCTCTGGGGTGAATTAAGTGCAGCCTTCCAGTGCCTGAAGGAGCCAACAGGGAAGATGAAGAGAAACTCTTTAAAAGCAATGGAGGGACAGGACACAGGGAATGGCTCCCACTGCCAGAGGGCAGATTGGGAAGGAATTCCTGGCTGAGATAGAATTCCCAGAGCAGCTGTGGCTGCCCTGGATCCCTGGCAGTGTCCCAGGCCAGGCTGGACAGGGCTTGGAGCAGCCTGGGACAGTGGGAGGTGTCCCTGCCATGGCAGGGGTGGCACTGGATGGGATTTAAGATCCTTCCAAGCATTCCATAATTCTGTGATTGTTCCACTCTCACCAAGCCTTGCTGAGCCCCCAGGCTGATGGAAACTCACATTAAACACGTACCACTGGGGCTGAAAAAAGCCAAGGATGCTTTTCCAGCTTCCAAGCCACTGAAATAGTGCTGGGGGCTTGGCTCCTGCTGCAGGCTGGCACTTCCACATTGTGAGATGGAGAAGAGAAGGAAAACCAAGAAAGAAACCCATCTGTCCTTTTGGGCTGGCATGGCTGTTCCCAGCTACAGGCACAGGAGATCACAACTGGGAGAAAAAATAATACAAAAATTATAATACATAAACACACATGAATGTCTCTCTGTTTTAGCCTCTGTTACATGACTGCAATTTCCAACTGTGGAAATTATTATTAATAGGACACAAACATCTTGAGGATATTATGAATTAGTCACTCAATCCACAGGTGACTCAGACAACTGCAAAGAGGACAACAGAGGCCACCCCATTCCCTCTGAGTGTCCCTTCAAGTGCACAGACCCTCAGTGCTTTCAGCTTCAGGGCTGCTTTTCCTCCCTCTTTTTCATTTCTTTTGAGTCAAACAAAAATTCCATGCACAGGCATCAAAGCAGTGACAGCAGCATCCACAAACCCCCGCCCAAACTGTCTCAATTCCTGCTACAAAGCTCCCAGGGAGCCAGCAGAATTTCTGTGGCCCTGAAAGGTGTTTGCAAAGGGATGGGACTTGTTGTGGTTGCCAAAAAACTCAATGGCCATTTGAGGTTCAAATAGCAGAGCTCCTGTTTCAGAGCAAAATAGAAATGTGCATCTTCTGGCACTGGTTTCTGGTCAGAGTGAGGGAGAATTTGCAGGTATATTTATAAAGATTTGCTAGCTGAAGTCCTTAGCATGAGGATGTTCTGCTGGTGCTTCAGGAACACATGTTCCAAATTATTTTTTTTATAGAATAACTGATTTCTCTCTTATATTTATAAGGATTTATGTAACTTAAATGGATGCTATTTTTGTATATACTGCTGGGGTTTTTTCTTTACTCTGTGATCAGACGTTCTATACAATTTAACCTTTAAAGCATTAATTAAAAAATCAGATTGCCCTTGACCTAAAAATATGATGGGACACAAGACATCAACCTGGGGTTGGCATTTAGTGTGAATAGAAAGGAAAAGGATTTCAGAGAGTGGGATGTGGTCTGGGGATGTGGGGATGGACATCTGGGGATGTAGCAATAAATCAGACAATAATTCTGTAAAATCTTTTCTGCTTCTGGCTGCTGATTTTGCCACTTCTCACCAGCCACCTTGACTTCCTCAGAGAATTAAGTGGGAATTTTTCTGAACAGATTGATTTTGGTGGGAAGTGTCCCTGCCCCTGGGATGGAACAAGATGATCTTTAAGGTCCTTCCCAAGCAAAACCAATCTGGGATTTTGGGATTTTGCTCACTCCAGGCCATGGCAGATGATGTGAGGAGGTTAAAGGATGAGGAGCCACCTTCTTCCCACTGCATTCCTCCCCATCCTGCTCCTCAGGGATTGCTCCCTGTTCAACAAAGGGACAAAGCTGGGACTGAATCCATGCAGAACTGACATCATGAGCTGCAGCTGCTGCCCTCAACAAACAGCCCTGTGTCCATGGGCTGTCACTGCTCCAACCCCCTGGCAGCTCAGCACGCCTGCCCTGGGATCAGCCCAAGCTCCAACACTCCAAAAACAAGCAGGGAAAGATCCTGTGCCATGCTCCAGGAGTGAGGGCAGGCACACTCAGCCCTCACAGGCTCCTTCTCCAGGAGCTGAGGGCTTTGGATCAGGCCTGAAGGCACAACAGAGATGGAAATACATTATTTTTTTTTTCTTTTCATCTCAAAATCTTCAGTTGTCTCCTTTCCAGCTTTGGGCAGTGTCAGGCATTTCTGGTGCTGTGCCCTCCCATCTGTTCCCCTGGCTGACAGAGGGGACAGGGATCAAGCTGGGGGGGGTGATGTTTATTAAATGACAAACTTGGCTACTGCAGGATGGAAAAATAAACACAATCCTGGCACGTGGGAGCCACCCAGCTCAAATGGGAGAGCTCACTGTCAAGGGAGGAAGAGGAGCAGCCTCCAAGGACTCAAAGATGTCTCAGGATTATATCTGGAGGAGAGGGTCAGCAGCTTAAAACACAACTCCAGCCCCCAGGGAGAGCTCAGAGCCCCTTGCAGGGCCTAAGGGGGCTCCAGAAGAGTGACTTGGGACAAGGGATGGAGGGACAGGACACAGGGAATGGCTCCCACTGACAAAGGGCAGGGATGGATGGGAGATTGGGAAGGAATTCCTGGCTGGGAGGGTGGGCAGGCCCTGGCACAGGGTGCCCTGGATCCCTGGCAGTGCCCAGGCTGGACAGGGCTTGGAGCAGCCTGGGATAGTGGAAAGTGTCCCTGCCATGGTAGAGGTTGGAATGGGATGGGATTTGAGGTCCCTTCCAACCCAAACCATTCTGGGCTCCAGTGAAAAACGTGTGCTCACCCCTTCCCTGCTCAAATCCTCTCACCCCTCCCTCCTGCCCAGCAGCTTCCCTCTGCTCCCCATCAACCCAGACATGAATATTCAGCTTTTAGGCCATTTCCTCTGTCACCTCTTTCCCATCCATGGAAAATGAAACCCCTAGGGCTGGAAACAGCCAGAGCCCTGCACCACTGACACCTGCAGGATTGCCAGGGATGTGTGAAATGGCAGAGATGTGTGAAGCAGCTCTGTGTCACTGCTGGGAAACCTTAAGCCATGGCCAGGGGACAGCCTGGCACAGCACTGAGGGAATGCCAGGCCTGGCCATTGTTCCCACTGCCATCATCCCAAGGCAGAGCCAGGCAAGGTGCCTGAGGTCACTGCAGGGACCTGAAGTGAAACCAAATCCACCAGAAATATCCAGCCCAAACTCCTGTGGGGGCAGAGACTGCTTGTGCCACATCAGCTTTGTTTGGGAATCCTGCAGGGGAATCCATGGGCTGGGATCACCTCTGGTTCCAGATGCTTTCCAGGACACTTCTCCTCCTCAGCTGCCAAGATTTATCACTGAGGATATTTATCCTCAGGGGAGAGTATAAGAAATAAATTTATAAAAATTTTCAAAGTTTAATAGAATAGAATATATATATATATATAATATATTATACATTATATATTGTATATTATATGTTATAAGTTATATGTTATATGTTATATATCATATATTATACATTATACATTATATATTATATATTATATATTATATGTTATATGTTATATATCATATCATATATTAAACGTTATATATTATACATTATATATTATATATTATATATTATAAATAATATGTTATATGTTATAAGTTATATATTATATGTTATACGTTATATATCATATATCATATATTATATCTTAATATATTATATGTTATACGTTATACGTTATATATCATATATTATACCTTAATATATTATATGTTATATGTTATACGTTATATATTATATATATTCATATACAAACCTAAAAATAAGAAATACTAACTTAAAAACACCATAAAATAAAGCAAACATTATTTTAAAAATACTATAAAACAAAGCAAATATTATTAAAAAAGAAATACCATAAAATATACACTACAAAAAAAGAATCAAGTTCCAAAAGATAACCTTACAAATAAAACTAAATATTTTTGAAAAATAAAACAATAAAAAATGCATTGTAGAAAGACCCACGAGGGGCAATTTTAAATAATTAACTTTAAAACATTTAGAACATAATGTAACAAAAACTAATAAGCTAAAAAACACTTATCATTAAGAAATAGTTCACTTCTAATTATAATAATGGAAATTATAACATCTGTTATAAATAATGAATAGTTCACTTCTAATTATAATAACGGAAATTATAACATCTGTATTATCTCACCCTTCACATATAACTAAAAATAAAAGGAAAGTTTTTAAAGCACCTCTCAATTACCACATCTCTAAGTCAGAAAAAGCCATAATCCCACAGGAGGGGGTTGTGGGGTGGGATTTAAGAGTCACAGGACAAGGAGGAGCTGCTGTCCTGCTGGAATTCTGGCCTGCACAGCCAGCTGGAACCACCCCCCATCCACGGCCTTCCCTGCACTCAGCAGAAACTCCACCAGCCTGGCCTCTAATGCCAGTGATGCAAAACCCACACTGTGTCTTGTCCAAATATCACCACAGAACCCCAGAATGGTTTGGGTGGAAAGGGACCTTAAAAACCAAAGTTCCACCCTTGCTATGGCAGGGACACCTTCCACCATCCCAGGGTGCTCCAAGCTCCACCCAGCCTGGCCTTGGCACTGCCAGGTGTCCGGTTTTCGGCTGTTTGGACGGCC